CAATAAAAATATATATGTATATATATGCATATATGTCTCATATACATATATATACGCATATATATGTCATATATACATATATATGCATATACATGTCTCATATACATATATATGCATATATATGTCTTTTATATATATATACACACATATATATGTCTTTTATATATATATACACACATATATGTCTTTTATATATATATACACATATATATGTCTTTTATATATAGATATATATAAAAGACTTTTCATTCTCTGATTTTGAAACAGCTTAACACATAGATCTAAAATCTACTCATGACCATAAACTTTTCTCATGCAGTTGCCTGGAATAAAGAGCGACAAGTATAGTATGCTATTTGCCATAAAATTGCCAAGTAATAAGTTCAATTGGATACTTTCGCTTGAAATTTTGCTTCTTAGACATGTACCTAGTGGTGTGGTCTGCTGGATTGATCATGTCTCGTATAGTTTCTTGGATATTTAATAATAAATAATAGGCCAGTAAGAAGTATTCAAGCATTCAGTTTGATAGCTTCAGAATGACTAGCTACTATATGCAGTGGGATTATAAAAATGGATTCAGGAGTTTGCTTCAGTTTATTGAAAATCTGTGAAGTGTCCTTGAAACGCTGCGATTTTAATTGCTTAAAATGCCTGTATAAAATGATCCTATGTAAAGTGAATTTGTTACTTTCTCTTTCCCATGCAAGTAACAATTTAAAAGTATATATGGGGAGAAAAAACCTAAGGCATTTTCAGAAGTGCTCCATTCCACTTTATGAACCCTGAAGTAATGGATCTACAAGAGGTTTATGCAGGAGCCTGTTATTGACTGTGAAGACATTCCGCATCCGTTGACTGTGAACTGAAGTATCATTTTCCCTCTCATCCTGGCACCTGAATAATATTAAATTTGAACCTTTGATTTGATTGATACGTCTCAGCAGCAGGACATTTAGACATTAATGTTATAAAACCAAAATGAAATATTTTATATCATCAAACATGGCCCTGCAAGTTATAGTAGTTAAAACCAAATGAAGTTAGTATCAATTTCACAGTTATTTAGAAAGCATACACACAGGCACACATGTGCCCACATGCACTTAAACCTACGATAGAAATGCCTCCTTTTTTTTTGTTTTGGGATAACATTTAGTAAAAACGTAAAGTTTACCTAAAGAAGCTGAGGTAGCAGCTTTAAATGCAATAAACAGGGACCTACTTACATATGCAAAACAGGGACTCACAGGTGCAAGAAAGGTAATTGCTGGTGCAAAATATGCCATTACCTGTTTTACATGCACAACTGCCTGATTTGTAATGGCAGCTAGCTGATTTTGTCTTCCTCTGCATAATTTGTATATACAAACTAGTTGCTTTGGAAAATTGGCACAAATATTTCTGTTATTAAAATATATTATGTATAGAGGACAATAGAAGCATTACAGTCAGTCAGTAAAACACGTTTTCTGCTTATTTATAAAAACTAGAAAATCTCTTCTGGAATCTTATTTTTCTTCCTGTGCTAACAACTTTTGTTGTCGTGTTGCTGCTGTTGTTTCGTACAACGTGTTTCATTAGTGCTTTAAAATCTGCTGAAGCCAGGCAGCAACTTGCCTGCCTATTAGTTTAACTGAAGGCCCATCACAGCAGTGCATTATGCATTGTCTTGGGAACAATTAAAACATGCCATCCCTACAAAGCAGTTTTTAAGTGGGCAAAATATATTTAATGGTTGGGTTTGTGGCACCCAGAATGGAAATACAATGCAAACTATAGGGAATATGTACTTGCCCCAATGTTAAACAGGTTTCTTATAATTCACATATACGCTCTTGGGGATATGGTATCCTGTGTGTACATTTCAAGTGTTGCTAATGAAATGTTTACTGTCTGTGGCAGCCTATGCATAAGAGTGTAATCTGTGGCCAGCCAAAGGGCACTGTTAACAGCAGCAATAATGCAAATTGAATATGCACATAATGATTGATCTCTTTAGTAAAAAAGCTTATAAATAATATTCATATTTAGGACTAAGAGCTAAAGTAACCTGGGAATCAGGCATCAAGAACCTAGCTATTGATGGATTTAGACAGGTCAGACAATGTCTGTCTAACACCATTTGGTTGACACAGACAAATGTGTCAGAAAGGTGATTTGAGAAATACTTTTATAATATATAAAAACATCAGATATGGTATCCTCTTTTTTTTTAATATGATCCACACATGTTTCTAAAGCAATGATTTTTAAAAATTATTTCTATTTCAAGTGCTCATGGCAGATCAAATTAAAACACAATATGTGTCCAGTTCAGCCATCCTGCTCACAATACCATACAATATGTAAAAAACATAGTGTCGTTATTCATGTAGAACTTATATGTCACTCTTAATATGTTTTCACACTGAAATTTGGGAGCCAACTTTAGTCGAGGTTACTGTGTGCTTCATTTAATACAATTAACTGGTTTCTTAGTTTAGAGGACATTTTTCTTGCGACTAAAAGGATTATCCACACCTTTGTGGCATTTCAGTGTCCAGGTTTCTTACAAGAGTGAGTTTAAAGTTTTTCTAGGTAACTGAAGGAAGAAGTTTGGTATTAAAATTGAGTTTCTATTCTAGGAGTCATTATTGCAGAGAATCAGAATCAGTACTTGTTCTCAGGAAGCATTTAGATTCAGATGGTATTCTAGTGTTACTCTCTAAGAACTGTAATAATAAATTGTGTAAAATGTTATCGATTAATTTCTTAGTGGTAATTTTTATTTGTTTTTGTTTTTTGGAGAGCAGGATACAGATGAGTTCTAGTATATAAGTTTCATTTCTAAATTTATTTCATAATATTTGTATATGAAGTAATAGTTTAGTTAGCATTATTTGTTTTATTGTCTCATGTAAAACTGTAAGAACAGAAGTTGAACTTTAATTGTTTTTAGTCAAAGTTAGTAGCAGTGATAACAATATTCTTTCAAAAGAACCAACATATAAATGAATATATGTGAAATAATACAGGAAGAAAAAGAAAGAGGAAAGACTGGAAAATATTTGACAAATTTTTTTCCATTTGTATGAGAACATGTTACAGTGTGGACAGTGCTCTTTGAAATAGACTGTGATGATTAATTCTGTGTCAACTTGATTGGGCCATTCAGTACCCAGATTAAATATTATTTCTGGGTTTGTCTATGAGACTTTTTCCAGATAAGATGAATACTTTAATCAGTGGATTCAGTAAAGCAGATTGTCTTCCTCAACATGGGTGGGCACCATAAAACCCATTGAGGTCCTGAGTTGAACAAAAAACAGAGGACAGGAGGACTTGAACCCATTCTCTTCTTGCCTATATGCTTGAGCGCAGACATGTGTCTTCTTTTGCCCTTGACTGGGATTTATATTATCTGTTCCCCTGGGTCTCAGGCCTTGAGAGTCAGACTGGAATTACACCACAGATTTTCCTGGGGTGTCATCCTGCAGATAGCAGATCGTGGGACTCAGCCTCCATAATTATATGAGCGAGTTAATCATATATTATCTCTATATAATCTATATATTTGTATAACCTATCTATCTATATTTAAACTATTGGTTCTATGTCTCTGGAGAACCTTGACTAATACAATGATGTTTATGGAAGTATCAGATATCTAAATAAACTGTGAGATTTCTATTTTGAGAACAATTAGTATTTTAAATATAAAAAAGGTATAATCTCAACATCTCATTGTCACTTATGAAGGATCCAATGGGCATCTTTACTAATTAATAAATCTGCAGGTGAAAAAATTTATCAGTGCCCAATAAAAGGCTATTTCATGATACTGCAAATTAATTATTCGATCTTTCCTAAGAGTTGTTAAAGAACACTTAAGAACTAAGTGTTCTACCTAACTTCAAGCAAGTGTTAACAGAAAAAATATACCGTTAACTTCAATATTAACAATAAACAAAATAAAATGCAATATTAAAAAAATATACTGACATTCTTTTTTGCTGAATTGCACATTTACTTTCACATAATTCTATTCTTTCTCGATCAAAGTAACTTTTTGTATGAATGGGTAAATATCATATACTTTTTATGGAAAAAACATTAAATCAAAGAAAATGTGCTCTGTGGAGCCATGTGTCCTTATTTTTTAATTTGAACCCATGAATAATCTGTATATACCTTTTATAAAAAATATACATCAGGTATGGAAAGTGATGTGTCTATTATAGAAAAAAGTGGCTGGTAGCTGGAGATGATATAGGAATAATAATATCGTTGAAGAAAAACTGAAAGTGAAGCCCTTTACAGGAATTGATTTTGAGGGGAATCAATGCATGTTTGCATATAAAAATTACACCAACTTTGGAAAATACAATGAAAGTGCTGAAATCTGGAAATCATTAATGGAAAATGAACACTTGAAAGTAAAGGGCACAAAATGGAGACTTAAAGTGGTGCAAAGCTGTTTCTGAAAATATTGATTATGATTCAATAAAACTAAGAGAATTGGCTCCAAGCATATATACATTTTGTTTGGACTTAGATTGCTTCCTCCTCTGCTCTTCCTTTTTCTACTCTTGTCTTTTCTTCCATATCCCTCTTCAAGCATAGTTTAAGGTTTCACTATGGTCTGTTTCTCAATTTGAACTGCCTATGTTGCTCATTATCTGAAGTTTCTGTAATATTATGTCTCATTATTGCATCTTTGAATGAGGAATTGTATTAGTGAGTGAAGATAGCCTAACAAGAGAGCATTTTCCAAAAGAAGAGGAAAGCAAGTTCTTTTTTAGAAGTCATAAAGAAATTTGAAAGCAAGAAGGAAGATAAGTCTCTTAAAAAAATTGAACTCAGAAACACATGATATTCAGGTTTATATGTATGCATCTCTCATCTTGTCTCCATTGATGAGATATATTTTGCTTGAATGTAGACATGTGACAATTTCTGTTTATGAGAGACATAGACTGTCATAGAAACCTTTTCCAGCTACTAGATGGGGTAACCTAAAACAAGTATAGTAAAAGCCACAGTTAGTAGTAAAAAGTCACATTCAGAGGAAGCAAGAATAAGCTGTTATTTCAGTCAGTACCAATCTGATGATGTATTAAGTGATATCCTGTTTTCTAGAAAGTGCAATTTTAATCACAAAAATTACCATGGATTCCCTCCTTTTAAATCTCCTATTACCTTGTACTTTCATTATGAATTTATTTTGTTCCACATTGTAGAACTGCTTCCAGTACCCAATTTTCTTCCACTGGGTTATAAGTTCCTTGAAGATTTCGAAGACCATGTCTTGTCCATTGTTCTCTTCAAAGTACTTAGTTCACCATCTAAGTAAATATTTGTTAAAATATAATTAATATATATTACTGATAAAAATTTATTCAACATTAATATGTTACAGAGAAGGCAGTGTGTGCTACAGTCTGAAGAAAGAAAAAGAATGACTTTTAAATGGTTTAAAGTGTAGTTGACTTGGTAAGTATACATTAAAGAATGAAAGATAAACAATAAGGTCAGGTGTGGGTGTTAATGCCTGTAATCCCAGCACTTTGGAAGGCCAAGGTGGGTGGATCATGAGGTTAGGAATTCAAAATCAGCCTGGCCAATATGATGATATCCTGTCTTTACTAAAAATACAAAAATTAGCTGGGCATGGTGGCAGGCACCTGTAGTCCTAGCTACCTGGAAGCCTGAGGCAGGAGAATCACTTGAACTCAAAAGGTGGAGTTTGCTGTGAGCTGACATTGTGCCATTGCACTTCAGCCTGGGAGACAGAGCGAGACTCTGTCTCAGAAAAAAAGAGAAGGAGATAAACAATAACAAGTGATAGCATCTTCTAAATGCTAGAAGAGATTGTTAAGAGATACAGAAGCTACAAGGAGTGAGTTACTCCTCAGAGTGGGAAAGGTAAAGAAAGTATGGCTTTCTTACATGCCTCTGCTGTTGCTTCTAAAGAGAAAACTTCGACCCCTATACATTGCTATGCAAATCTTTGAATGGGATTCTGTTTACTTCCTGGCTTTCTAAATAGCAATGCTTAGTTTAAAATAGACAGATTTATTTATATGTAAATAATGCACTTACACTATTCAAAATAATGTAAAGTAGAATACAATTATAACAAGTATTCTTTCTTCACAGGAAATCCCTGGTACACTCAGAAAAGCTAAGATTTATGTCCTTAGTGTCAGAGAAGCAGTGCCATTTCCTTCTTTTGTTCTGTTTGTTTCTCTGAAGGAAGGAAGAAAGAAAAAAGAAAGAAAAGGGGGATTATTGAAAATAATGTCTTTCAAGAGCATGAGGCATGCTTAGTACTTTTCTTATGAACCCCAGAGTAAAACCCCTGAACTCAAAAAATGGAATATCTTAAGTCCCCAAAGCAATGAAGTATTTGATACTGTATGACTTTGTAATTAAAAGATTTCATAGCATTTGTTCATTTCTATTGCTTCTGAATTGGTCTATGATACTTCTCATAATGCTAACCCAGAAGCCACCTTTACCTATGCTATGTTGAAGTACAAGCCTGATCTGCCGGACTCAGATGTTTCAGTATTGTAGCAAAAGAACAAGCTGATCTGAAGAAAGAACTAGAATCTAGGAATCCTACTGGGGAAAAATTGTGAGCAGGTAAGGAAGGAACTCATTAATACAGGATGTGGCATCTCAAGAGCAGAATAAGCAGTAGCAGTAATCCAGAAGTGTTAGAATTTTAGCAAGACCAAATTACACATAACTGAAGACAGAGCTAGATTACTAACTACATTTTTAGAAATTTTTATTGAGAGTCTAATATTCATTAATTCAATCATTTATTTATCCAATCAATATTGAATGATGTCTCTGTAGGTATAAGGATAAGGAAGAGGTACAATAAAAAATACATCATATTCTACTATAGAAACTAATAAATACAACAGAAAATATTTATTTATTATAGAAATTAATAAATACAACAGGTGGAGGTTGAAGTGAGCTAAGGTTGTACCTCTGCACTCCAGCCTGAGTGACAGAGCAAGTTCCATCTCAAAATATGAACGAACAAAAATCAAAAGCAAGGAGTAAAAGTAAATTTTTAGGGGGAGGATTCAAGATGGCTGAATAGGAACAGCTCTGGATTGCAGTTCCCAGCGAAAATGCAGAGGGTAAGTGATCATCACATTTTCAAATGAATTTTTACTGCCCCCAGACCAGGAGATTCCCAGGCAGAAAAGCACCACAAGTCTCCAGTGTGGCTGTTTCAGGCAGCACAGCAGGTCTCCACACAAAAACTCACACAAATCCAGGTGCCATTTCAACTGGCGACTGGAATGCCTGAGAGACAGAGCTGCCCCTTTAACTGAAAAAAAAAGGGCTGAAACAGGGCGTCAGGTGATCTGGCTTGGCTGGTCCCCCCTCACAAAGACCAGCAATCTGAACCTCTCTGGATTGAGAGTTTCACAGCAAGCATGGCTGGACCTGGGATGGTCAGCTCTGTTGGGGGAAGGGCACCTGCCTTTACCAAGGCCGTCCACAACTACAAGGCAGTCTATCATTACTGAGGAAGCTTGCCATTACTGAGGCAATCTGCAATTACTGAGGCAGTCTGCCATTACAGAGACTGTCCGCCATTACTGAGGTAGACCACCAAAACCAAGGCAATTCTAACTATACCCCTATAAACAAAACTGCAAGTAAGTTCACACAGCAACTGGGCAGAGCCCACAGCAGCTCAGCAATGCCTCTTCTGGCAGACTGTGACTAGGCTACCTCCTCTCTGGGCAGGGCATCTCTGAAAAGAGACAGCAGAATGACAGGAACTTATAAATAAAGCCCCATCTTCTCGAGACAGAGCACCTGGGAAAAAAGGTGGTTATGAGTTCCACTGCAGCAGACTTAAATATACCTTCCCAGCAGCTCTGAACAGAACAATGGAGCTCACAGCCCAGCACTTGAGCTCCTATAAGGAACAGGCTGTCACCTCAAGCAGCTCCCCAACCCCTGTATAACCACAGAGACACCTCATAAAGGAGAGCTCAGGATGACATCTAGTGGCTATCATTATGGGACAAAAATAACAGAAGAAGAAACTGGCAGCAACTCTTACTGTTCTGCAGCCACTGCAGGTGATCCTCAGGCAAGCAGGGTCTGGAGGGGACCTCTAGTAGTGCTACAGCAGGGGGACCTGACTGTTAGAAGGAAAACTAAGAAACAGAAAGAAATAACTTCATCATCAACATAAAGGATATTCACTCAGGGACTCCATCTGAAAGTCATTAACCTCAAAGACCACAGGTAGATAAATCCACAAAGATTGGAAGAAACAAGTGCAAAAAAGATGAAAACACTCAAAATCAGAATGCCGCTCCTCCTCCAAAGGATCACAACTCCTCACCAGTAAGGGAACAAGGCTGGATGCAGAATGAGTCTGATAAATTGACAGAAACAGGCTTCAGAAGGTGGGTAATAACAAACTTCTCTGAGCTAAAAGATCATGTTCTATCCCATTGCAAAGAATCTAAGAACCTTGAAAAAGGTTTGACGAAATGCAAATGAGAATAAACAGCTTAGAGAAGAACATAAATGAATTGATGCTGCTGAAAAACACAATATGAGAACTTTGTGAAGCATACACAAGTTTCAATAGCTGAATTGACCAAGCAGAAGAAAGGATATCAGAGATTGAAGATCAACTCAATGAAATAAAATGAGAAGGCAAGATTAGAGAAAAAAGAGTAAAAAGAAATGAACAAAGCCTCCAAGAAATATAGAATTATGTGAAAAGACCTAATCTACATTTGATATGTGTACCTGAATGTGGCAGAGAGAATGAATCCAAGCTGGAAAACACTCTTCAGGATATTATCCAGGAGAACTTCCCCAACCTAGCAAGCCAGGCCAACATTCAAGTCCAGGAAATACAGACACCACAAAGATATTCCTCAAGAAAAGCAACCCCAAGGCACGTAACTGTCAGATTCACCAGGGTAGAAATGAAGGAAAAAATGCTAAGGACAGCCAGAGAGAAAGGTCAGATTACTCACAAAGGGAAGCCCATCTGACTCATGGCTTATCTCTCTGCATGAAACCCTACAAGCCAGAAGAGAGTGAGGGCCAATATTCAACATCCTTAAAGAAAAAAACTTTCAACCTAGAATTTCATATTCATCCAAACTAAGTTTCATAAGTGAAAGAGGAATAAAATCCTTTATGAACAAGCAATTGCTCAGAGATTTCATCACCACCAGGCCTGCTTTACAAGAGCTCCTGAAAGGAACAACCAGTACCAGCCACTCCAAAAACTATACCAAATGGTAAAGAGCATTGACACAATGAAGAAACTGCATCAACCAATGGGCAAAACAACCAGCTAGCATCAAAATGGCAGGATCGAATTCACACATAACAATATTAACCTTAAATGTAAATGGGCTAAATGCACCAATCAAAAGACAGAGACTGGAAAATTGGATAAAAAGTCAAAACCCATTGGTGTGCTGTATCCAGGAAATCTATCTCACATGCAAGGATGCACATCGTCTTAACATAAAGGAATGGAGGAAGATCTACCAAGCAAATGGAGAGCAAAAAAAGGCAGGAGTTGCAATCCTAATCTCTGATAAAATAGACGTTAAGCCAACAAAGATCAAAAGAGACAAAGAAGGGCATTACACAATGGTAAAAGGATCAACGCAACAAGAAGAGCTAATAATCCTATATATATATGTGCCCAATACAGGAGCACCCAGATACATAAAGCAAGTTCTTAATGACCTACAAAGAGACTTAGACTCCCACACCATAATAGTGGGAGACTTTAACACTCCATTGTCAATATTCTGTCAACGAGACAGAAAATTAACAAGAATATCCAGGACTTGAACCCAGACCTGGATCAAGCAACCTAATAGACATTTACCGAACTCTCCACCCCAAATCCAGAGAATATACATGCCTCTCAGCACCACATCACACCTACTCTAAAACTGACCACATAATTGGAAGTAAATCACTCCTCACCAAATGCAAAAGAACAGAAATCATAACAAACAGTGTCTCGGACCACAGTGCAATCAAATTAGAACTCAAAATTCAGAAACTTAATTCAGAATCATACAACGTCATGGAAACGGAACATCTGGCTCTTGAATGTTCACTGGATAAACAATGAAATAAAGGCAGAAATAAAGATGTTCTTTGAAATCAGTGAAAATGAAGACATAATGTACCAGAATCTCTGGGATACACATAAAGCAGTGTCTGGAGGAAAATTTATAGCAATAAATGCCCACACGAGAAGCAAGGAAAGATCTAAAATTGACACCCAATCATCAAAATTGATAGAGGT